TGTCATCTTTAGAAATGCTGGCGTAGTTGATAAATACTAAATTGGTTGGCTGTGATCTTTTCTCCCCAGAATCCAAGACATTAAGTACGTATGAATTTACACTTCTGATTATGCAAACTGGATGCTGTGTAAACTCGAATTTCAGAGATGTAAAAGTCAGCCACTTTATTAATGGCATGGCCCACTGTGGAGCAGCTACAGTGTTACCCATGAATAATAGTCAACAATGACTTGTAGATATAAGCTAGACAGTTTCTCCGACATTCCTTCTCTAAATTTTATTTAGCTTTTGTCCTCTGCCCTATCTGCCACACTATCGGCAGACAAGCTTTCAGCCTTTTTGTCCCCACTCTCTGGAACACCATTCTGAGATCCCTCAGATTTGCACCCTCACCTCATTCAACATCCATCTCAAGTCGTACCTCTTTGACTACGGTTTGTAGGTTGTTTTCCCACCCTCCGTAGTTTGCATCCCCAGATCAGGTGTCCAGCCAGTACTCTACGTGCTTTGGAACCTCCTTCTACTGTGAAAATGTAAATTTGTATTCACTTACTTTTTGGGGGGAGGTTTTTTTTAATATGAATTTATGTTGTTGTTGATGCTTTCCCCCACAAGGTGAAGAGTGTGAGTGTGGGGGAACAGGACATAGTTCATGTCACCATTGTGTACTTCCTGATCTATTGTAGAATAAGGCTACCAGCATCTTCAATCCTAATTTTTTGCATGTATCCTGCAAAAGAAAAGTGCATCTATCTAATGTTACCACTGTACATATAATATTAAGCATTGCTTAACAGGCATCAAAGCAATGAGTGCCTTATGGTGGTAGAGGAACACCATGGGCACAGGCACTGTCGTGTACATTGGAGCATTAGAAACATTAGGCAAGAGGGCTGTGGTTGGAGTTAACTGATCTCAACAAGGGTAACAGTAGGGATGCTACAATTAGCCCCAGCAGTCCTGGGCTCAGCAGGGAAAAAGCAGCCATGGCACCTGTTTTTGATTGCTAGCAATTGAGCTCTGCTGGAAGTGCATGTGTGAGAATGCAATGCAAGGATCAGACTTGGTCTGTGATGCAGAGCTCATGATTGATTTTTATGTTAGCACAAATAGACACCCAATGTCGCTACAAAGAAAACAACTGCTGATGATTGATTGACAAGCTTCTTACTTGAATACACCATGGCCAGTAGAAGCAGATGTCAGTTCAGATATATCAAATATATCCATAAATTTCACCTACAAAATACATAGTCACAACATCATATAGCTAATCCTGTGAAGCACTTTGAAACATCCTCCTGACATGAAAAAACTATATCAAATGCAAGAATTATTATTCTATTAATTGTAGTTGGAGTTTAGCAAAGCTGATCCACAAGTGAAAGGCTACTTGTCTGCTTTAGTTATTCCAGTTCATTTTTCTTAAGTTTTGTATTACTCTTCATTTTATCTGTTCTGTTCAATATGTGTTTCGGAGAATGTTATGCAAATCTTTATGTTTCCCTAAGGAAGTTCTATTGTTACTGGTATAATGCGGTTGAAGTGCAATATTTTCAAACTGGATGTTGCTGTGCTCCTTGTCATTTCTGGTTTGCAACCGAAAATACAATCATGGCTAGTATTTTTCTTACGGCTGTTTCTCACCTGAGAAAAACCTTCAAAAATCTGACAAAATCTGCTTTAGAGATGGAATTATTTTAGAATTTTTGAAAAAATGTGTTGATTCAATTAGCAGTTTCAATTGCAAAATGCAGGTCAGAATTACCTCAGCAACTCCTGGTTTGTAACTTCTACATTTTCAAGGCCATTCTCCAACTGGGTGCCTGGAATTCCACTTCATCCTAGGCTAGAAATCTATGTTGTATTGACCAACAATATATAGTCAAAGCAAACAACCTATTTATGATTGACCAACAATGTGGAAACTTCTTAAATTGGAAACCAATTTTCTGCATTTATTAAAGAAACTGGCTTGAAATTAAGACTGAATTGAAGAATTTCTTACAATTCTGCACCATTTTACAGTTTAAGCAAAATTGGCTTACAGGTTTAGACAAGGTAGAATTTCAGGCCTGTAACACAGGAAGTCATCATACGGTAATTAAGACTGTCTCCAAACCTATTACCTACCAATCACTAGGATTTGTAACCCTAAATCCAATTACAAAGTTGACCTTTATGAGGTGTCACCCAGCTTTATTATGTCGGTTGCATCGTGGACAGATTATCAATTATGCCTGAGGTGTGCTCAGCAGCTCACTCTTGCCCATTGGTTGACTTCAGAGACCAGATAATCTGGACCTCATCCAATTTGAGTACAGCATTATCCTAAATTTCTGCTAATTTGCCACCAACATTATCTAAGCTTCTTTGTTGAATTATCACTTGTTGCCACGTTATTTTCTCCCCTTCTCTGTCCTCAACCTCAAAGATTTCTTTGATTCAGGAATTACTTTTAGTGATAAATAAAAGGTTTCATAATCAGCAGGCCTAGAATACAAAAGCAAGGATGTCAAGACAATGGGGAAAGTACAGAGCAGATTCACTAGGTCGGTACCACAAATGAGAGGCATTAATTATGAGTAGAGAATCCAGCTTTCAAAGACAAAAAAGCTTAAGAGGAGACCTGAGAGCTGTTCACAATTCTGAAGGAATTAAATAAGGTAAATTAGGGAGAAACTGTTTCCACAAGTTGGTGAGTCAGTGATTGGAGGGATTCAATTATCGATTATTATCAAAAAGACAAAGTTTAGAATTTGTTTTACACAGAGGGCATAGAATGCTCTACCAAATGCCATGGTTGAAGCAGAACCCATAATGCCCTTTGAAAGGAAATTAGACTAATATTGAAAGAGAAATATGTGAAAGGATATAAGGAATGGTCAGAGAGTGCGACTAAATGGATTACTTTTTCAGAGAGTCAGCAAGAGCACGATGGGCTCCTTATGTGCAGTAAAATTCTCTGGTTCCTTTTTTCCATGTATATCATTGACTTGGCTCCCTACAACTAAATATCTACAAATCTTTTGCTGGTGGTGAGATGTTAGCTGTTATTTTGGACATCAACCCATATGTTTCACCCACAAAACACACGGTCAAACCCACTTTACAGTATATCCTGTGAAGCGCTTTGAGACGTCTCAATGATGTGATAAAGCATTATATAAAATGCAAGGATTTATTATTATTTCCAAAGAACCTCTTATACAATATTCTGGCAGGTCATCTGGAGCAATATCTAAGCAATTCACATAATGACTGGCACAAGTATGCTCCATATTGTGTAACAGAACTGAGAAACTGTAACCAGTTGTGCATTTCTGCATATCGAATAGATCTTAACATGAAGTTTAACTTAAGTGTAACTAAGTGGCTGCAGCGTTTCGCTCACAAAATACACAGTCAATTCACTTTACAATATATACTGTGAAGCACTTTGAGATGTCTCAACGACATGATAAGGCGCTATACCAAATGCAAGAATTATTATTATTAAGGGCATTACTCTATAAGATTTCCATCTTTAAAGTTGGCATGCCAGATTTATAAGAATGCTCAGTTAAAAGCAAATCATTTTAAAGATGCCAACTTGGCTTCTGATTGATAACATAAACATTAAGATTTAATTCACAATACATAAGTCATACAAAGCACGCTGCTCTCCCTCAGTTTTACCAAACCAGTGCACAACCTAAGCATCAGGTTCGACCCACAGCTGTCCTTCCTTCCCCACCATTGGTAGCTGCACCAACCACTACCCCTGACGCCTGAGCACTCTTCCTCTATCCCTAACTTCCCCATTTTTAGGTCATGCCTGAAAACCTTCCTATTTGACTGGGCCTACGGTCACCTCCCCCTCACCCCTGGCTCGGAATCTTGTTCCGCCACTGTCAAGCCCCCTGGGAAGCTACCCTGCGTGAGGGGTGCTATATAAATGCAAGTTGTTGTTGGTGATGTTATTGCTACTTGACGGGCTAAGTGTACTGTGTCTCTCATTGGTGCCTAGCCATACTTCACATTGTTGATTATTCGTTGTTGAAGAAACATCACTTCACATCATGAATATTTTGATTAGAGATGCGTATAGACTGCAGGCAAAGCATAGCAGACGAACACAAAAGAGGTTTGGATGAAGAAAGCCCTTCAACCCATTTCTTGTCATCCGTTCAGAATACCTACCTACTCAATATGCTCCCTTTGCAGCATCAATAATCTAATTGTTCCTCATAGCTGTTCCTTATGACACTGGGTTCAGCCTTGGTAATGTACTGTATACTGCCTTTAGAACCTGGGAAAATTCTTTATGTTGCAGTGACCTGAACCATACTCAGGTGATGTTGAAGTAGAAGACTATACAGCTTGAGTATGATTTCTAGGAATCTGAATTCAATTGATTTGGCAATATAGCCCATATAGCTGTTTGGCAAGGTTATTATTGTCTCACACTGTTTTGACATGTTGATCGCTGAATCAAATAACATCCCTACATATCTTTGAGCTTTCCCCATGACAAAATTTATCTCGTATTCAGAGTGCTTGCGCCTCCTATTTTTGCTTCCTATATGCATTCGGGGTTTTTAAATTTTATTTGCCAGTGAGCAACCCAAGGGCATAACCTGTTGACTCCCTTTGTAGGATCTCCTCTGTTGGTTATCTCCTCTGATTTCACAGTTCTTTCTGATCTCCAAATTTAACTTGAGTCTGCAAATCTGGGACATTCATTTATATCAGGAATAGAATTAGCTCCAGTGAAGTCTCAAGGGCATTCCACTCATTACTTTTCTCCATTTCCTCCCTTGCTCCCAGTTACTAATAATAATCCTTGCATTTGATATAATGCTTTTCATGTCTTCAAGACATCTCAAAGCGCTTCATAGAATTTATTTTTAGGGATTATTATCCCCGGAAAAGTGATCTGACAATCGACTAACAACCGGGTTCCTACTTACTGCTGGGTAAACAGAGGCGTGTGGAGTAAGGAAACTTGCCCAATATTTCGCCCTGCCAGGAATCTAACCCAGGTCTCTCGCTTGGGAGGCGAGTGCTCTAACCACTGAACTACAGGACTCCATCATACCGTTACACAGCTTACCATTCTTACCTAGTAACGTCAGCTTGTAAAAGAATGTTTCCTATGTTACTTTGGAAATGGACTTGACAAAATGGGATGTCACTTCTTGAAAATATATATGAGGTTGGTCAGATAAAATCTTCTCTTCAGAAGCTGTGGCAATTGTCATTATTTTTGTGCTAGTGATATTCCATTTTGCTTCCAACAATTAATTCAGCGGGCTCTGGCCTGCTTCACATCCTCCTCCTTGCCTTCGGTCACCCTCTTACCCCTCCCCTCCCCACCCTCCACCCCTCCTGATCCCAACCACCAGCTTGGGTGCAGATCCTTTACTGTGTAGACCCTTGGGACGTCCTCCTGACGTGAAAGGCGCTATCCAAATGTAATTTGTTGTTGTTGATTCATTTCCCCATTGTTGATGTCAAGTTAGTAGGTCTGCAGTTGTCAGGTATCATTCTATTGCCTTTCAGATTCACTTGGGTGAGAATATTTCAAAATCGAAAGCTTTCAAGCCACTGTGTGTGTGTGTGTGTGTGTGTGCGTGCGTAGATTTTGAAGTAGAGGTAACCCTCTCAGTAGTCTGTTTCCTGTGTGTAAACCCCCTACCATCAACAGAGGGTTCAGTACATCTGGGAGAGTATTGTTTACACAGGTTATACTATAAAGTGTAGTGACTGTATATTTGTATGCGAAATGGCATCCAATTTGCATGCAGCATTGTCCCACAAACAGCCATGAAGTGAATAACTTATTTTCTCTGGGGGATTGTTGGTCAGGACACCGGGAGAAACTCCCTTCTCTTTACAAGTAGTAGTTCAAAGTCCTGACGTGGGGCTTCAACCCACAATCTTGTAACTCAGAGACAAAAGTGCTCCTAACTGTGCCAGACTGAAACAAACTATAAATACTATCTTTTGCATCGACATTGATAAGGTATTCAGGAAACCTTTGAGCTTTTTGGAACACTAAGCTGACGTTCCTGAAAGCTCTTGTGTACTTTTCTTTGTTCAACAAAGTCCCAGACGTGCTTTGACTACACGGTTGATCTTCATGAATACTGTAGTCAGAAACATTATGCAGATTTTAAATGCCAGGATTCACATTGTACTGCAGGCATTTTTAACAGAAATGCATGACATTGTAGATATTACTGGTTAATTGCCATAAAACCAAATCACACAATTAGAAGGAAATGAATGGTAATTGGGGTAATATTGCATTTTCGATCTACCTCACAGTTACCATTTACATGGTGACTTGATAGCAACTTCAGTCAAAGCACTTTCCATTGACGTTGCAAATTACCTCCAGAGATTGCTGCACAGAGTGAAAAGGGTTCAGTGTTTTGACCTAGACACTCATTGGAAGTCAGAGTAAAGTGATTCTGATTACAGCGGAGCTTTTGTTATTGAGGAGGTCTGAACATAGCTGTTTTTGTGCAAACGAGTGTTAAGGAGGCTCTGATTTTAAACCAACATTTTAGAGACTTTCGATTATTTTATTCCATTATTACTATCACACCATAATTACTCTCCTGATCATCATTATAGCTAAGCACCACTTAGCCTAAGGCAGCTTAGTTCACCAATAATACTTTAATGCTTTCTGGACAAATAATTAAGAATTTGTTGTAAACAACTCCAAGCACATGAATGCTTTTGAATAACAAAAGCCATGAAGCCCTTTTCTGAAATATTTGTGATGTGTAATTGATTTTTTTTCTTCTGTTAGTCCAGTTTTCCTCCTCCTCCCCCTGGGGCACATGAATTCTGTGGTTACGAATATGTGGGACCTGCTCCCTAGCTCTATCAGTGCCAGTTTGTTAGTAAGCGTGCCAGCATAGCCTGGCAACCTTTCTTCCTTCCATCTTTTCTGTGGGCAACCCTCAGGCCTTCACCTAGTAATCCACTGCAATATGCCTGAGATCAGGAACTGATAATGGAAGTAACCGTGAGTGCACTAAATCCAGGCCTGGTGCCTCCTCTAAAATCCTTAGCCTGTTTGTCACCTCTTTATTTGAAATATCTATTAACACTATTGAGGTGTCAGCCTGGCTTATCTAGTAGTATTGTCGCCTCTGAGGCGGAAGGTTGTGGTTCAAGTTCACATTGGGATTTTGAACTCACATAGTCCAAGCTGACACCCAGTGCAATGCTGGGGAGCACTGCATTGTCAGAGATACTGTCTTTTGAATGAGATGTTAAACTGAGCTGTTTGTTATTGCCTGTTTAGAAGGAGTTAAAGATCCCATGGCACTATTTGCAAAGAAAAAGGAGTTTCTCACAATGTCCTGGACACCAATCCCCCAAATAAAATTGCTCATTCACTTCAAGGCTGTCTGTGGATCATTGGTCTGCACAAATTGCTTGCTGTACTCGCCAACAAAAATATATTGACAAAACATTTTACAGTGGATCTTGTGAAGAGCTTGGATTTGCCCTCCTGACAGAAAAGCCATTATATTAAATGCAACAATTATTGTCATTATACTTATACTTAGTCTCGATCAACTTAAGGCTGACTAGTTGATCTTTACATAATACATATTTATGCTTCAGTGTAATTGTTACAACGGTGTATTGGTGCAATGGTGATAAATTACAGAAAAACACTTTGATTGAGAGCTAGTTTTTGGTTTGTTTTGATGTTACCATAGCAGCCTTGTAGCTGATTCTAGGCCAAAAGTTAAAACATTTTTTTCTCTTTTCCATGCCTCATGAAACAAATGTACAGATGTCAGGTGTGAACTTCAACAAGCAGTTAGTAGGAGAATGTCAGAGTGATGGAAGCATTGTGCGTGACAAGATGGTTGGCTTGTTTGAAACTTTTATGAACCAAACTTCCTCAAAATGTTCCAAAATAAAATTCAACCATTTCCCCATTACTGAAACCAAATTTTCCAGTGAGGGGTTACAGAGTCACATAAGAACACAGAATACAGGCTGATCCCCTTTACGAAGTCCAATAGCATAGTGGTTAATGCACTGGTCTCTGACACGAGAGGACCGGGTTCGATTCGGGCAGGGTGAAACCTTAGGCAAGTTTCCTTACTCCACATGCCTGTTTACCGAGCAGTAAGTAGGAACCTGATTGTTGGTCGATTGGCAGACCGCTTTCCAGAAGTAATAATTCCTCCCCAATAAAATAATAAGAATGTGGTCACTCAATCCATGACTGTTTATTGGACACTGCTGTGCGCAATTGGTTGCTGCGTTTTGCCCACAAAATTCACAATTCTAACGTCCCATTTGCTCGTTTGCTAACTATCTTAAATGAATGCCCTCTAGTCCCTGACCCACTGACCGTGAAAATAATTACTCCCTATTGATTCTATCAAAACCCTTCATAATTTTAATGACCTCTATCAGGTCACCCTTCAACCTTCTATCAGCAACCAATTGTAAATTTTGCAAAAAAATATATTTTTCCTGGTGTGTTCGTGTTGTATGTGGATGAAAGGCAGACCAGGCTTGAGAGATGGTGATGTCTGAGTATTGTATGTTTTTTGCTCGCTTTTCTTTGGGGTTTGGAAGTCTCGGTGCAGTACTTTTTTTCCAAAACAAGGCAGGATGAAATCCAGAACACTTTATGGGAGTGGACTCGATGAGTCTTTTCTTGTTCCTTGCTTGTATCTTTCTGTTCTTAGTATAATGCAATTTTATCTTTTTGCAGAGTTTTCAATTGACATATGAGCTTCGAAAGGACTGAACACTCAAAGAAACACCTTCTGGATGGTTGGACATCAGCCACTGTGGATTGTAGTGCAAGGCTAACAACTGTGCAGAATGGGCTTCAGAAGCCATAAAGTTAATCTGTATGAAAACATCATGGAACTTCAAGGAAGGGAGTTCTTAGTTTATTATTACTGTGGTGAAGTTAGCAGGCATGTATGGCTAGCTACCCAAAGAAGGGCATTATCTTTTACTTTTTTTTGCCTCTGTTCACCTAACAGTAAGTAGGAACCCGGTTGTTTGTTGATTGCTAGATCGCTTTTCTGGGGGTAATAATTCCTTCAAGCAAAAAATAATAATAAATTGGTCACTCAATCCACAACTGTTTGTTGGAAACTATAATGTGCAATTGGCTGCCGTGTTTCGCCCACAAAATATACAGTCACTACACTTTACAGTATATCCTGTGAAGTGCTTTGTGACATCTCAAACACATGATAAGGCACGACATCAAATGCGAGGATTATTATTAGTCAGAAAAGGGAAGCTTATTTCACTTTTGTGTGTGCATTAGTCTAGTATCGACAGAGACTCAATTCCACCCTCTCTCTCGAACTCATTGAACCAATGTTCAACGTTGGTGTTTGGCTTGATCCTCTGCTCTCTTTCTTCAGCAGATGTGTCAGCTTTGCTCAGTTGGTAGCGCTCTTGCATCTTAATCAGAAGGTTGTGGGTTCAAATCTTAAGTCAGGACTTTGAATTTACATAGTATAGGCTGACACTCTAGTGCAGGACTGGGGTGGGGGGTTGGGTGGGTGTGGGGTAGTGTTGCATTGTTGGAGGTGCTGTCCTTTGAATGAGACATTAAACTGAGGTGCTGACTGCCTGTTGAGGTGGACATTAAAGATCTCATGGCACTACATGAAAAGAGAAGGGAGTTTCTCCTGGTGTCCCCCAAATAAAATTGGGCATTCACTTTATGGCTGTTGCACAAATAGGTTACAACATTCGCCTACAAATACATAGTCACTACACTTTGTCGTAAAATCCTGTGAAGCTCTTTGAGACATCTCAATGAAATGATAAGATGCTACATCAAAAATGCAGGATTATTATTATAATTTCAAAAAAATGGCTAAAAACCTACTTTTTCGACTATATCTATGAATACCACTCTCCTCCTCCAATGCCCCCCCCCCCACCCACCCCATTTCTGGCACGATCTGCATAAGGTGTTTTGAGGTTTTAGCTCTTTGCAACCCTATTCTGTGAAGAGTGCAAAGTGCAAGCTATTGTTCTTGTTAAATGATGTGAAGGGTATCACAA